GAAAGTGACAAAAAGAAACAACTATTTCACTTTGATATGCGATTTAGGAAAAAAAGCCAAGAAAAATCCCGGTTATAATAAGGAATGATATCAATGCAATAAATGGGTTTAGTAACAAAACTGTTTCAATGTGTGGTCGGCATAACAAAGTGCTAATTAACAATGACAAGAGAAAATGGATGAAACTAGTAATACGCTGAAATGAAACTAATTCAAAAAAAACTGATCCAATGAGAGACCGTAACGATATGTATATGCATATTCTCATTTACTTCCCTCACAAGGTAACGCTCCAAAAAATTTGTCTCAAATTTAAATTCTCAAGAAAAAGAAGTAAGATGCCTTCCCTTAAATTTCCTATAATTTTGTAGCAACACAAAACGGTTCAGTGTATCATAAACAAAGCGCCTGCACAAGTAACACACTGAAACACGACAGATGTTCCACAGCAGATGAGGACTCGACAGACCAGAAAACTTAATAGAGGGAAGAATATCTGACCCTTGCTGGTGTTACTAAAAAAAGTCCTCAGAAAATAATCCAAAAAATTTGCTTGCACATTATCTCTACCTAACAACATTATTTCAGGGATAACGGTGTAGTACCCTACTATTTTGCTTTATTACCAGAAAGAATAAGACCACTTCTTCACGCACATTTTCATCAATCTATAACAATTACTTCCTTCACAACCTTTTTTACTATCTAATAATGTTTAGTAATCTCAGTTATTACAATTAAATCGGTCAATCATAAACAACAGAGCAACTATCCAAAAAAAAAACTGAAGTTTTAACTGCGAAAGTAGTGAATCCATTTCGTTTTAAAGACTCATAACGACTGTCACAGTAAATAGCTTGAAATGAAAAAAAAAAATGTCAATTCAAATTTTTTTGGTATTTTTCTAGTCTTTTTTCATCGCCATTTTTTCTTCCTTGAATTTCTTCCCTCCACCCTTCACATACGACTGATAGTAGAAATTAGCAAAAAGTATAACATAAGAAATTTCCATGCCCAAGCACAGCAAATATATGCTTAGCGTCCCATCGACAGCTTCACCAATAGCCATCAAATAACCAACATGCATGAGGATAAGCAACGTTATAATAAACTGTAGCATTTGCATGGATGTAATATAACGTGCAATAGCTGCCGGTACGCGGATGTGAATTGATCGCAGAAAGTAGTAACTACAAAGAGAAGAAAAGAATAAGTAATTAATAAGAGAATGCATAGCAAATAAGAAAGATTTATTTGAAAATAAAGCATAAGAAATATCTATTATTATCATTATCATACTCATGACAATACTTTGTTTCCAAGATTCCTACTGAATGTTGAACTATTAAAAAAAGATAAACTTTAAGAGAAAAATGCTCACCTATACACTCTAATTATATGGATCTTGGCTTCTTTGTGAAATTAAGGGAACTAATACAATAACAGGAAATTGGATGGAAATATTAGATGGTGCCAGAGAGTGAGCCGATATAAAATGGTTTTAACTAATGCATTAAAATAACTCACATAAAAACAGCTCACCTGTACATAAAACTATGAACCGTGAAATTCAACCATATAATCCAGCTGTTGTAAGGCGTATGCTGGTTATAAGACATGATACCGTAGTTGAGAGTCAACACATGATGATACCAGTGCAGGAAGATCAAAGGTTTCTTGCGTAATACAATCAATATTGTATCACCAAGCTCTGCAAATTTCGATAAGCAAAATAGCCATGACCAATAACCACTGGTTCCTTCGAAGAAATCGCCTATTTTCGTGTATGATGCTGTAATAAAAATCAATTAAGGTAAAATTTTAAGTAAAAGCAATGAATCACTGATTCTACTGATCATGCAATAAGCGAAGAGCCAATTTACACTTTGTAAAGTTGAAAACAGTGCTTTACTGTGAGGAGCGAAAGTATGCATACCCACAAAACCGTGATTGTAGATTTCTGAAAAAAGAGCAACTGATGTGAAAAATGATCCCAACACACTGAATACTGCCAACCATGTATTCCAAAAGTTCAACGCTGCTGTAAGCTAAAATATCAAAAGCTACATTTAAAGTTCTTGCAAAAATTTCTCCTTTCAGCTATTATCAATTCGTGTCTTTCGTTTACTAATTCAACTATCATCAATCAAACATACCTAAAACCATTATAAACGGACAAACCTGAAATGGCTTAAATCGAGTCATTACAAGTTTAATAGAGAAAATGGCAATCACGTAGAGTACAGAAACGTATATCCCAACATTACGCAACGTCCCAGTGTAACGGACCGCTTCTTCATATTGAAATGGTGCTGTGAAAGCGATACGTTTCAACTCATCCATATCTAAATATAGTGATCAATCAGTATCCGAATCAATCAAACATTCAGTAAAACGCAACACTTGCTAAAACACACATATCATAAAATAATAAGAGCTAATTATATCATAGCGGCAGATGTGGTACAGTGTGTCATGAAATCCTGAAAATTTTTGAGAACTACATATATCCATTAATATTTGAGATGTATGATAATTAAAATCAATAAAAATGGGACTAAAAAAATGGTTATTTCAAGTCATAAAGAATACGTTTTCAAAAAATTTTTTCAAAATAAAAAAAATTTTTCAAGTAGAAGGAAAGGTAAAATAATTAAGATGAAAAACTCTAACAAAGGAGACTAATTCCGTTCAAACTTTTTCATTAACAACACATTAATTTGTCAAAACTTTTTGCTTTCACAGTCGTTTCTTACATCAAAACTTGCTAAATTTTCAAACTAATCATTTCTTTCATTGAAAAGGTAATTAATTGCTGTAATTATTGTTTAATCTCTACGATAAAAAGCGACCAATACAGTACTGGCATACCATATCGGTCGTTTTTTTTAAACCATTTTTTTAATCTTATATCATATTCACATATTTCCGACCAGAAAGCAAAGATCAAACGCCGTACTATTTTACATATAAAATGACCTCGAAATGCATCATTCCGGCAGGACGATAAAATATACTAATCAATTAACCAATTAGCTATTAATTAAATTTAAAAACTTCAACAACTGTTCAAATTATAGCATAACCATTTCAAGACCTACTCATAAAATATTAACAGTAAAGATAATTACACCAAGCAACACTTGTTTCGTACATCCGGTTATTTATCCCCACTTTTTGCCATGACCTTCAACCTTTACGTATAAAAACACAAAAACTGCTAATATATTCAAAAAATTCGTTTTAAGAAGAGTTGAATGAAAAAATTAGCAAACAGGCGGGAAGCAAAAGAATGCTTGATTATGACAAACAAAAGAGACAAAGACGCGACAGGAGGAAAGAAAGGGAGGACGATGGAAGATAGCCAATAATTTACCAGTGCTTCAGTACCAAACACTCTCAACACTCTAAAACCACTACCCTTCTCTTATCAGCGGAACGGTAACTACCAAAGAATCTGGAGTCATTAATAGTCCAACAACGACCTCCCACCATACCATTTAATATGAGCAAACCGGTATCTCTCTTCAAATATCTTCCAATCATTAAATTTCATGCAGAATATTATTATCAGCAGATTCGTCAGTATATATATATATTCAGTGTACATTTGTCAGTGCATTTATGGTTAAAAAACTTCTGATAATTACAATCTTCACCAAATTAACACTAGACCTATTATTGACTTATTCCTTGCAATATGATTAAAGTACCTTTTGCATGTGCTTATGTATATATTTGTGTATGTATTCCAGTAACTTCCTCAATTGTTACCATCATTAGGTATAATTACATTACCTTCTATATTACGCTGTGAAAGAATTTGCTAAAACTGAAAAAAGATGGGCTGAGAAGTCCGATTAATCTATAATTCACTGAAAGAATAAATATTATTTTAAGTGAAATTCCAAAACAAAGCAAAATTCCAGTGCCATATCACTTTTATCAAAAATAACTTTACGAAGTATGATAAATTGAAAAATCTTTTTTTCTTGTTAAACTCATATAATATATTCACAGCAACACAAAACTGAAATAATTGATGCGTAATAGTAGCAGATACGAACCGCAAAATGAACTTAACGGCAATGAGAAACATGAAGTTGTCAGCGCAAATGGATACGATCTCGAAATGCTATAGCACGCAATATAAGGCACTAAGCTATTGTGTGTACATTAGTTTAGCATTCCCTTTCAAGTGCTCATCATTAATTTTCAAATGATCGAGCGAATTAAATAACTGATATAGCAAATCTCTGTAAAGGAGGTCATGTGTAAAGTTACATCACTATAAGCAGAACGCAGTTACCCGGATCACCGAACAATTCCGATACTGCTAATAATGTTCAAATCACACTCTCTGTATTTTGCAATACAGTTCATCAGAAGAACTACGAAACAGAAAAAAGGTAAATAATTTGGTAAAGTCGTCCATAAAATCGATTATATTCTCAACAATAAACTTCCAGCAAAAAAATAAAATAAATAAAACAACCAAACGATAATTTTAGTACTTCATTTCTTGTTTCCCTGAAGCCCAGAAAATGAGTTAAACAAGAGAGCGGTAAATAACAACTGTAAAGTCAATCACATGACAAAAAGTTTTGAAAACTGAAGTAGCTAAAATTTTTTTAAAAGTGACATGAAAAAAAGCACTTCACTGCAAGACGGACAACATGCGCCTACTATGAAAAGGAACCTGACAGCAAGAAATTTAATAGTACATGTAGTCATTCATTTTGAAATTTGTTTCGGTAGTGAAGAACTATCCGGCAAAAAAAGTAAGATTGTTTAACACAAACCCCGTTCCGAATAAAGATTGTCAGTTTGTTTAGGATCAGAAATAGCACACAACATTAAAGGAAACCATATCATGTAAATAGCGATCAAAATACGTTTCTTTTACTTATTGCATTGAGTGTGAGAAACTGGTATAATAAGTGATGTACGTTTCGATTCTATTGCTAATACAAGGGAGATTTGAACTTTCTACCAAGATATCATTTCATTAACATCTGCACTCTGTTAACCACTTTTGAACCAACTTGATAAAACACATATCCCACCACGCCAATGATCATCGCTTTCAGGGTCAAGCGTATGAATTTTTCAGTATGTGTTGGTTGTGGTATGCTGAAAAATAAACTCACATTTATGGTCAGCTTTTCTCTCATTCTCTGCTGAATGTTTTACCACTACCATGCCCATTATAGAGAATAAAATTTCTGGCGTCAGAAATTATCATAATAAAAAGAAAAATCTGGTCTAGTATTCCCTTAAACTGTGCCATTTTTCGTTTGATCATAAGGCTGCGGAATTACGAAAAAAAAAAAAAAAAAAAAAAAAAAAAAAAAAACGGCATGATATACGGATCTAACTTTTGTATACTAGATATGGTGGATAAGATGACAGAACTTACATTAGGAGATCACCTACATCAATTCTTTTATTCCAGTTAGAAATAATGCCAGGAACATGTCCCATGCCGACAACAGCTACAACAGATATTGGCTGCCAGGCGACTAAAAATACGTATCATAAACAGAAAAAAGAACAAAATTTCTTGCAGCACTAATCAAAGAATATTTTTAATTAATTTATCACCTTGCATAAAAATAAAACAATCAATTCTCATTCATTCTACACGCATCTCAACGTTATACAGTAGCTGGCAAGAATTATAACTTTTTAATGAAGTCAACAGAATCAGAAGTAGTGAAATATATCCATAGCTACAGCATGCAAATTTTCGATGTCCCATAATTATCTATACAAATCACAAAGGAAGCTTACCATCTGTTTTACTCCATGCTACTCTCTTATCAAACGTAGATTTTTTCAATAAAGTATGCAAAGCATTGGTCATATACAGATCTCGTTCCTCCACAAAGATTTTCGAAAGCAGTGGGAATTCACCAGCCATCTGCTTAAGCAGTTCTTCCAGCATATCTGATTTCTTACATCTTTCTACTTCTTCTTGACTAGAGAAAAGAAACAAAAATGAATCCTGAGAATGCAGAAATGACAACGTTTAAAAGAGGAAGCAACAAAAAGTCTGTAATAAACTTACGTGATAGTGGTTTTATGTGAAAGAACAATGTGGTAGAAAAGTCGAAGTTTTTGGAAAAAGTTTAGAGAGCTCAGTGCTCTTTGTACAGTCACATGTATTGGACGATCACCCAGAATTAGTTTGCACATCTTCACGTTCATAGCACCTCTGAAAATCTAGAAGATTGGAAACAGTAACAAAAGTAATCCGAACAAATATTAAAAATGATACTTTAAAATGGTATTGTTGGTGTTCGGAGGATTATTTGGAATTATGAATTCAACATAAACAAAACATTTTATTCAAGATTAATTCAGACAAAACAGTACTTGTGAGCTGCACGAAACTCCCCTCCGGGAGCCATACCCAGCGTCTTGGTCATATGGGCAGACATAGACAATAATAATATATGGAGTATTCCTTGAACTGCGCCACTCTAAACAAATAATGTTGTAACTGCAACACCAACATCGAAAGAAATAACTTCTTCAACACCTGTTCCACAATAAACAACTTACCTGCTTAACAGTATTTATAACTTTATCAAAATTCAAATTTTTAGCTTCCTCAAGTAAAGTATCCTCATCCATTGAAAGTATTGATATACGCGATGGACAAAGTTCGACCATAACCATATCTGGTTGAGTATTTGCAATCGTTTTCAAAACGTCTTGTTGACTATCGGGCGAAAAATGCGCTGTACCAATCAAGTACACCTAAATTACACGGACCATATCAGTCACATATATTGAAATTATTAAGCTCAATACCTCAGGAAGGCGGGATTCTCGGAACTCATTCAAAGTCGCCAGGTATTCAAGTGAATTCTGCAGACGAAAAAATAAATACTTTTAATTAAAAAGTCGTTGAACATATGACCGAGTTCTTACTTTTGCATCAGCTAATGATTTGCGGAATTCATTTTCATCATCTCCAATAGGTATAGCTGTAGGCGGAAAGGGATAGTTCAGAACAGTTACTGAAAAATTTTGCAAGGCATATTTTATTATTAGCATCTGACTTACTAGCTACATGGGAAAAGAATGTCCATCACTTTCCAACACAGTATTAAAGAAAAAATTATATTACAATAATTCAGAATTGTCTTTAGGTAAATAAAAACGATTACCAATAGTTTAGGATGTATACTGTGCTAAAAGTGATCAGAATTTCAAAACATATTGTTTTTTGTAATGGTTAAACATTCTACAAAGAAATTAATCAGAATTACTGATCTAAAAAATACCCGTTTCGTTCGGCAGCTCTGGACTGGGATGACGATTTCGATCAAACATGAAACCTCCAAAACATCGTCCCTAAACAACAGAGAATTTAATTGACAAAATCTTAAAAGAGTAAATTAACTCGAGATCCAATTTGTGATAATCAAGATTAATTTGCATATTCCTCACATGTTCCACGTGGATACGCTCATCGTTTTGCTTATCACCAGTTCCCGTTTGCTTCATTTTTTCACTTAAACGTATCTCATCTCGAATATCTTCGGAGTTAACCGTGTTTGCTGATACATGACTACCAAAATTTGATGAGGAATCCGTCGCAGACATTACCGACTGCTCTATCACGCTAACTGTGCCTTGAAATAAAAACAAATTACGACAACGCTCCATTTTGCGCTGGCGTCTCTTATTGCTAACATAATTATAGATTTGTGAATCACTGCTGGAAGAACTTAAATCACTGACCACACTTTTTTCCTCTTACATGCCGTAAAAATAACAATGATAAAACAAAATAAAAAGATAACCCTATAAAGGCAACCTAAAATACTATTCCAAATATAGCAACACTATCTCAACTATAACAATAAACGACTTAATTTATCTCTTATAGCACCAATTTTCCCCATCTTTGAAGTTAAACGACTTCAAATGAATATCAGGGAGTACCTGAAACATCGTCACGTCCCGTGTGGAACAATTCAGTTCCCGAAAGTCCAGAATCATTATTCATCTCCGTGTCGGGATCAATTGCGTCTCCATCCAGCAGAAGAGGAGGAAACATGTGTTCGTCCTCATCCTGTATCGACGTTATGTTATCAGCCTCCGCATCATTTATAGACATCTTCACTCTGGTAATTATACATAATTTAGTGAAATCATAAAGCAAGCGACTTCCTGCCTCACAAATGATGAAAGATATCATCCCTCTTCTACTTCCCTTAAAGAACCACTACAAACAGACATGGAGTCGCGGAAGTTTCACATTTTCACTTCATTTGCAGTAAATTCTTACAAGATCCGACAACAAATGCCTTTCTTCCTTTTAGCTTTCCAATAATCGAGCATATGCAACTATGCTAGATAAATATGAGAAAAACTGCTTTTGATCCGGATTACAAACACAAATTCAAGCTGTTTATTACCATTCACTAATACATTAAGATAAAGGTAAAAGTAACCAATGATAAATTTCATTACCACCATTTACACAAAAACGTCAATGAATAAAGATACAGGTACCTTTATTGCCTGATACAGAGCTTGAAAATGAATTTAAATTATAAAAAATAAAAAGTATGGAAGATTCTAAACCGAGAATGAATAAACCGTTTGTGACATTCGACTATTTCAACAGAACAAAAGAAATCTTACAAAGGTAGTAATGGAACAAATTAGTCACACTAGCTAAACTTAAGGAGGTAGGCACTTTGGCATACCCATAAAGGAATTAGACAGTGGGATCAATTTCGCGTAGAAAGAATATATTTGCACATTTCATATGCAGACCAGCTAAGCGCTGTGGAAGGAACTTGAAATATTATTCGAGCCTGAAGTCCACGGAAAAATCCACCCGTACCTCGAAGATAGTAAATTGTCCGGATTCCGTCAGCCAGACCTCTGTAAAACAGTTTATATAATCAAAAATATAAATGAAAGCAAACATGGATGGAAGTTTTAACGATGCAAAGAAGTCATGCTATGATTAAATAAAAACTCAGTTCAGTATGTCATATAACAAATATTAATTTTAGCACGAATTAAAAAAAGAAAATACTTGTAATATGCTGTAGGTCCGCTTTGAGTAAGCAATCGATATGTGGTACTAAATCGGGGAGTTTGCTGTGTATTTAAAACGGTCTTCACACAATCGAAAGGAGTTGTGATAGCTGCAGCTATCCCACCGGCAATTCCTACAAATCATTTTGGAATTTACAATTCAAAAGAGAGGAAAAAGATTTGCTAAATTATCGCCAGGATAGACATGAACTTGTTGCACAAGCGTCATTCAAAACCATTAAACAACGTACGAAAAGATTAAGGTACACCATTAAATCGTAATTGTACATCATATCAAAATAAGAAAGGATGATTATGCAAAAAACGTCTCTATTTCCATAAAAACAAAAATGTTTATTGAAGACTTCATAGATTTTAAAAATAAAAACAAACTCAACTGTTATTAAAATTGCAGAACATAAAAACATACCTCCGGAAACAAGATGGGAAGAAGGATTGTAATTATGATGTGGATTTAGCAAACTTTGCATATATTCGTATATTATAAAATGAGTACACTGATAGGGTACATTCAATGTTAGCTGCGTAATATATGAACGGTAAAAAGCCCTGAGACCCTCTCGAATATAAATACAGCGTATACATTCCAGACTATTACCATATGGACTAAAAATCATTTGCATACGCTGTTTCACTACCTGGAAACAAAACAGTACAAACAAGAATACCATAATGTTATGATGACGCAACAAAAGCTGATATTAATCTCCTAAATGAGAATCAACTTTCCAGCCATCAAATGATCTTGTATAATAGTTAAACGATTTCTCTAAGTTAGAGAAAATTCAAAAGGAACTTGAATACCTCAGCGGGATTCATAACAGCATCATGAATAGCAGTAGCAAGCGCTCCAGACATCGCATACGACATCGAACTAGATACCCGTGGATTACTTAACAAATAAGCTTTGGAACTGCAAGATTTCATGCACTGTTGTTGATATTTGTGATTGAATTTTCAGAAATTCGATGGAAAGATTATAAAATTTTGCTCGGGGTTAGAAAAAAGAAGACATCATCACAGAAGGTTTTAACATTTAAAAAATCTTCCATAACAAGTTAAAAGTGTATAGTGAATAGTAAAGAAAAATGATAGAATACATTAAACATCGATTAGTGGTAAAGAGATCAACCTAACCGTTAAGTTCAGAAAACAGTAATACTAACTTTTCATAAACCGTATAATACAGAGCATGAGCCGGAATGGTACCAAGTACAACAGCATTAACTCCTTTTAACGATCGCAGCAAACCTTCGCGTTTCACCATTGATAAAAGACTATGCATTGCTGTTGGACATCTTGTTTCTGGGCATGGACACAAACTTTGCAATCGAGTTTTCACCGAGTCGAATGGGAACATGAGACAGTGTTCGGCAAGACCGGCAACCGACCCAGCCAAAAGATGCACCGGCCATCTGCATGGTGCCAATGGACTATATAAACTATCCGCCATCCCGCCCTAATCCCTCATCTGTAAATAAATACAGCAATATTAAATCGTTGCATTAAAATGATATATTTTAGAGAGATAAATTTGACTAGCCTTGGAGAGTCCGGAATTACAAAAATTTCCCAAACATTCACAGTAATATGTCAGACTTATCCGTTAGCTAATACGTCAGTATCTGAAACAAAATTTGTTGAGGATTTCCAAATCAGAACTGCCTTTGCACTTCCGTCCATATATTGTTATCATCTTAAGATTAATGGAACTTAGCATGACATGGTTCTTGTCAAAATCTATTCTCATTTCTATTTCCTGACTCAACTGAAGGAAATAAAATATTCCCACAAAACCATTTTCTTCTTCTGAAAGTAGTATAATTTGTCAGTACAGTAGTAGTCAAAAGTAACTAGCAATAAGAATAAGCGAGAATATTTGGTTTTATGGAAGTCACTTACTAAAACTTGTTTCACGAAGCTGCCAAACTTATCCATTCTTTTACCTTCATTTCTTTCTTTATTCCATCTTTTCACTATAAACTATAAGATGCTACTATCCCTGATGACAATTACATCCTAGTTTTTTCTCTGAAGGTACTATATTCCACTGTCTTGGAAAAAACGAAAGAAACCACCAGAAAAACAAACTATGATCAGGAAAATCAACAGAAATTAGGAAAAAACAAACACGAGAAATTCTAACCAACCGGTTATTATTACAAAAGCATTTCAAAACCAAAAATTGAATTCATCCGCAATCCGATCCCAAACCTGTCGTAAGAATCCCGGATGTACGGGGAATGCTATCCTTTCATGTCTTCTTCATTGTATCTAATAGATCATTACTCTGTAGTGTCTATTCAAATAACACAAACTTTTTCCTCGCCGTGACTACTACCAATTAAAGCGTGGTAATACTTTCATTTTCTCTGGCTATACGCTTTTTCGTGAACTTCAGCAAATCGTAAAATCTTACAAATTTCAGCGCTATTTCATAACTTGAATGTCTGTTTTAAATATTTTTAGATTTTATCAATCTTTGTATAACAGCTAACTCGAAATAACTATTCCCCGAGGTCTAGAGTCTTCTTTGGGATTATCCGCCATTCTTATACGATGGAGAGGGAGGACCACTTTTGAATGCGATTTTAATATTTTTCAATGATTCCAGTATTTAATTTCGTTTAAATCTGAATTCTCGTTATTAGGTGCTAACAGAGCAATAATACATACCGCCGCAATTATTTTATCCCTCTTTTTTGTTAACGGGATGTATTGTTTTCTAATAATAATAATAATAATAATAATAATAATAATAATAATAATAATAATAATAATAATAATAATAATAATAATAATAATAATAATAATAATAATAATAATAATAATAATAATAATAATAATAATAATAATAATAATAATAATAATAATAATAATAATAATAATAATAATAATAATAATAATAATAATAATAATAATAATAATAATAATAATAATAATAATAATAATAATAATAATAATAATAATAATAATAATAATAATAATAATAATAATAATAATAATAATAATAATAATAATAATAATAATAATAATAATAATAATAATAATAATAATAATAATAATAATAATAATAATAATAATAATAATAATAATAATAATAATAATAATAATAATAATAATAATAATAATAATAATAATAATAATAATAATAATAATAATAATAATAATAATAATAATAATAATAATAATAATAATAATAATAATAATAATAATAATAATAATAATAATAATAATAATAATAATAATAATAATAATAATAATAATAATAATAATAATAATAATAATAATAATAATAATAATAATAAATTTGCCTCATAAACTGCTTTATATCCCGTTTTTTTTTTTTTTTTTAATTACAATAGTTAATAAGGTTTGTCAATTTTCTTCCTTCACACAAGTGTTCTGGATAGTGATCCGGTATATTTATTGCCACTGTAAAAAGTGTGAAGACATTGTTTGGAATCTATCATACAAATCTTTAGTTGGTGGGGAAGTAAAAAAGTACTAAGAATAATTGTAAATAACCATTGCATCATGGAAGTAATCATTGCCGTTACTTTTCAATTATTGGATTAATGCGACGTGATAGCAAGATATTTTTAGACTGATATTTCCGAATACGTAATAGGAATTACTGATTAATGCAAGATTTTAATAAATGTTCAATAAATGTGAACTTCTAATTACTTCAGGATTTTGCAGATGGAATGTTTTAAATCAATGTTAATACTATTTATATGCATAATCAGCACGGTAGCACAGATACCAGAAATAGTGGAATTAGTAGTTGGTCAACCATTTTATTATGCATTTCAAATTGATTCAAATGTATTGGATGTGCAGGATGCATCCGGTGAAGAACTACCAACATGGCTAATTTGGAAAAGAAATGAACGGTGGTTTTTTTTTTCTTTCTTGAAAGGTTTAATGCTAAATTCAACAAATGAAAAAAAAAAATGTGCGTAGTATTTTGTTCTTTCAGGATTTTGGAAGGTGTACCACAACCTACTGATGCTGGAAAAACATTTTTACGGATAACGA